TTATAAATTCTATGCTTTTAGAATGAGTGCTACTATATAGTAGGAAATTATATGCATAATTGAGTCTCTCATTTTAAAAGAAAATTACAGTTTGTAGACAGAAAATTAATAATTATAAACGATGAAATTAATTTAAAGGATGGACTGCCATGTTATTTTGTTTCTTTTAATGCTATGTCATTCCATGCTGCTGGTGGGCCGAGCCAGCCCACAGATCCAACAAGATGTTAGAAGATTATTTTGTATTTTTTATTTTTACAAATTTTTATAGTTTTAATTATTATTTATGAAAATAAAATTTAAAAATAATTTATAAATCACATTTAGAATTAATTTTAAGAAAAAAATAATTTTCAAAAATAAAATTTTAGATAAACAAAAGAAATGTAAAATAAATCCTCCAAAATATTTGAGTCAGACTAATAATTGAAGATAAAGATACTTTTAACTACGCTTGTCGAAGAATGATTTAGCTCATACTATGAAGTAAAAGATGCTTCTAACTTGATTTGTTGTGAGAAATTAGTTATTTACTTCTTTTAAAATGAAAAATTCATTTGAGAGTAATAAAGTAACGAGCTATTAATTAATAAACTAACAATTAAATTTATAACTAAATATATGTATATATAATAAATTATATAAACATTCAAATTTTAACTTTTAATTTTTAATCAGTAATTATAAATACTCATTTTACTTTCTCTATTGAATCTGTCACTTTAAAATAACTCAATCTATAAATTATTATATTCACATATTATATAAGTAGACAAACTCCATAAGAAAGAAAGTGTCATGATGCTTTTAGTTGAAATGAAGCTCGGAACTACAAAATTAAAAAATATATAATTAGGACCATCATTCTGGTCTAATCCTAAATATTAAACATTACATGCATGATAATGTTGTCATGGAAAGTATTACGTATATGCACGCAATTAATCTTTTCAATTAAAATATTTGGGATATGCAATTAATTAATTTTTAATAATTATTATTTTTATATGGATATTTATATTATAAATTTAATTATAAAATTTATTGAGATAATTAGTTTTAAATTTTGTTTAAAGTGGTTAAGAATTTTTAATTTGTAAATACAAATTTCAAAACTAAACTTATTTAAATAAAATAGAGTTGAATTAATTTAAAATTCAATTTTAAAATAGTTTCACCTTAACTTGAAAAAATAAGCTTTTAATTGCAAAATAAATATTTCAACTATTTTGTTTTTTAAAATACATACAATAATTATCCTCATCACTATTATTACCATTATTATTGTTGTCGTCATTTTCGTCATAATTTTTATTATTATAAAATTAATTATTATTGTTAAAAAAATTATTATAACTTTTACGTCATTGTCAATGTCATTATTAAGTTATTATTATTAATATTATAATTACTATTACTGTCATGGTATATATTATTCTTTAATTTTCTTTAATTTTCATACTTGTTATCATTTTATCATCAAAATAATTTTAATTTAAAAAATAAATAAATATTTAAAACTACAAAAATTTAAAACTAAAACTACCACACACTAGACAAGGTCTTAATAATTAATACTAAAAAAATTAAAATAAAATCTTCTAATATATATATATATATATATATATATTGTTTATCGAGTGAAAATAAACCGGTTTACTGTCTCATTAAAAAATGTAGTTTCAGCTTTCAAATCATTTGGAACTGTAATGTTCTTAAGTAATTTTTTTTTCTTTGAATTTCAAAGAGGGTTTTGTCGATTACGTTGTTTTAATAATTTTTTAATTTTATACAGTAAGTATTAAATAAAAAGTATATGTATTTATTACTTTTAAAAATATAAAATAATTTATTGTTTTTATGATTACAAACTATAAAAATAAATGGTAAGAAAATTTAGAATTATTTTCTCTAAAAAATAGCCTAATAAAAAAATATAATTGATTGAAAAACAAACCTTACTCGTGTATCTAAACTCTACGATAAACACAATGCCATATTTCTTCATCAGCTAGTTATTATAATAATCTCTGTTGTCATAACATAAATTTATAATTTTTTTTAACTCGTATTCAATAAGCATACAACAAGGAAATACAAAAGTAATATTTTTATTAAAAATTATAATATTTAATATTATTAATATATTAAAGCTACAATAGCACGTGTACAATATATAACTTTTTATTATATATTCTAAAAAAATCAATCTACAGTTAGACTCTATAAAAAAGAAGATATAAAGATACTTGCCTCAGTTGGCCACTGTAGGAGGAGAAAGTGTGAAGAGAATGTGTATATAATCTTCTGGGAAGTGAAAAAGCATATAAAATCTCACAGTATGTCAACACCAAAAACCAAAAGGGATATGTGAATAGGCACAGCCAACGCCACTAATGAAGCCTTTTTATAAGGGAACCAATGAACCAAATCCTAATCCACTCGACAAGATTGATATTGCCGTTGGCACAAAGTTAGAATACGCTATGGTGATGTTATAGCAATGAAGATTAGAGATATAAACTTTATATGGTCAAAGATCAATCACCAACGAAATTTCGTGGAAACTCATGCTGTGACTTCATGTACCAAGTCTATTCATAGTGATAAATACATCGTCTTTAATATTCTTTATCAATTATAGTGCAATTACTTTGCATTTTCGTGTGACACGGAACAATGCCAGAGTCTCTGTATCTGTGGATTGAACCCTGTTGTGTTTTCTTTTTCTGCGAATATATAAGTATTTTTTTTAACATGTCTTCGAGACTACTGTTACTAGTATAATTTCATAGCATAAAAATTGTAAAATACTTGAAGACTAATCGAAGGAAAGCATGTTGCAATTAAATCAGTAGTAAAATACTTGATATGATGATTCATTGAGAAAGACTCAACATGCTTGAAGACTTGAGAAGAAAAAACCCAAGTTTTTATCAAAATTGCTATAGAAAGTTACTTATTGAATGTTGTAAATGTACAAATTCAAGTGCATAAGTAGTTAACAGTCTAACACGTGCTAGTGGAAAGTGACCATTGTAAACTTTGTTTTACATTGTTTTCGAGATCGAGTAGCAAGATTATAAAAAAAGATGTATGTTCTTCGTCTTGCTTTTTAATTCCATTTTCCACTTTTCAACTTCAGTTTCTTTTTTATTTTCATTTCAACCTTTTCATCTTCATGCTTTCTTATTTCTTTGATTAAGAACTTTACTCCTTTTCTTTTTTCAACTTTGTGCTTTGTATATTTATGTTCTTTATTTCATTTAAGCACTTTAATTTTCATAGAATTTGAAGATCTTATACAGAGATATTTCCCTTCTTACGTTGCTTTACCAAGATAAATACATAAAGGAATATTCAATAGAAATAAATTGACACATTTAGTGGGATTCAAGTTGATTTTTTTAAGTGCCTTTCAAATTTCTCTTTTTCCATGAGCTTGCATAGTGGAACACTTTTGAGAATGATCGAGAATAACAATCAAACGATTTTTAGTCCAATGGCAACATGTAATTAGTCAAGTTACAACATTAATAATTTTTAGCTCGCTTTTAAAAATGGGTTAAGCTTAGCTACGATGAGCTTGATTGACTCCTAATTTTAAGGTAGCTAAAAATGAAGTTTTAGTTATTTGTAAATGTAGATATAAGTATTTATAAAAAATTTAAAAATTTATTTAAGGTAATAAGAAAATTTTTATAAATGTTAATATAGATATTCACATAAAATTTAAAATTTTATATAAAATAATTAAAAAAATATTATAAATATAAACATAAATATTTTGTAGAAAATCTAAAATTTTATATAAAATTATAAAAAAAATTACGTAACAACTTTTATCTCTAAAATTTAATTTAAAAAATTAGATAAAAAAATATTATAATAAAAGAAAATATAATTTACACATTATTCTCAATCAAATTTAATCTTTAAAAATATACACAACTCTACTATAAAAAATATTAACTTTACTAAATATTTTATTTTTCTTATAATATAAAGGCTAATTGAATATACCACCTGCTTGAAAAGTTGCCTTAGGTGTTTTACAGAGCATTTTCCAAGCGATATTGCAATGCTGAAGTGTTAGTTACCCCAATGCTTCGTGCTCCGAATCAGCATTCATGTCCATTTGGGCTTCTTTTAGTGGTTTTCATTATATACCTTCATAACACAAACACATAAGTAAAAAGAAAATAAAAAACAAAAACTAAAATTTAAATTGAAATTCCAAACTTAACCTATTAACTAAATTAATTGTAACAAAAAAAAAAAAACAATTGCATTAGTTTTATGCTGATGAAGTAGAGGTAAAATATTTTAGCCACACTAATATATACTATTTAATACTCTGACACAAAGATATTTTGGATAATAAGTTGAAGATTTCCTATTATTTTACTGTTAAACTATTCATTTCAATATATATTTTTTTACAAAAATAATTATTTTAAAAATTATTTTTTAAAATAACCTTGTTTTAGTCAATCAATTAACGTAAAAAGTAATTTCTACTACAAATGCTCTTAACTTTTCATACAACAAATAGAGTATAAAAAAAAGTTTATTGAAGAAGTGAATTACATTTTTGAGGATAAAATTTAAAAATAAAATAATTGATTAAAAAATATAAGGATTTTTTTAATTTCATATCTTAAAACAAACTTTAAACACCTAAAAGAAGTAAATTTTTATTATAAAAAGATACATTTATTACATTTAATTTATAAAAATATAATTATATATTTTTAATAAATTTTATTATTTTAGTAACGTAATTATAAATACTGATGTTAGCATTTTTTACAAATTAATTGTTAAGATTTTAACAACTTCATTAACTCGTAGAAAATTATGAAATTTTTTGTTTGGTAAAAATATTATCTTTTATCTGGGCCCAGTAAAATGCCGAAATAAAAGCCCACAAAGCTTAACATAGTCCCTCGCAAAACCCTATACAACATATATCATCCCTCCATTCCCCCTAACAAAAACATATAAAACCCAAAGAATTCGCGGCTTACTGAACTTCCGCCGCAGTAAGCAGCATAGCGTCGAGTGAGTCTCTTTTATAATTTTTCTGATCAAATCTTAAGCAAATCATCAAATTCTTGCGAACTTGCATTACAACCTGTTCATTATTTGCATATCAAAATTTAACTCTCGCGTGTTTTGTATGAAGGATGGCCAAAGAGGAAGCGAAAACAGTGGTTCCGGAATCGGTGGTAAAAAAACAGAAACGGAATGAAGAATGGGCTTTGGCGACCAATCAGGAACTCGAAGCCGCAAAGAAGAAGAGGTTCCAAACGCGGAAACTCATTTTCAACAGAGCCAAACAGTACGCAAGTGAATACGAAGAACAGGTATTGAAATGAAATTTGAAATTTAATTGGAAACAGCGTTGTGTTAATAAAACTTCGAATTTTTATTTTTTTTTAAATTGTGTTTAGCAAAAGGAGTTGATTAGGTTGAAGCGTGAAGCCAAGCTTAAGGGAGGGTTTTATGTGGACCCTGAGGCTAAGCTCTTGTTCATTATAAGGATCCGAGGGTAAATCGTTTATCATTTCATTGTGTTACTTTGGTCTGTTTGGGGTTGCATTATATTTATTGTTGCTTATTGCTTACTAAATGTAATTTATATACTGTCAGTATCAATGCTATGCACCCCAAAACAAGGAAGATTTTGCAGCTTCTGCGTTTGAGACAGGTAGTTTTGAAATTCAATGAGATTTTTCTTATTTTAGTTTGTGGTCTCTCATCGAGTTGCTGCTATTGGTTTTGATCTTAATTGATGCTGGGGAGTGTTTGCCCTTGTTACTTGAGCTGTTCGATATTTGTGGATGGGTTTGTTGTAACCGTACGTAGAGATATGAAAATGCAGAATAAGCAAACTGCACTACGTTTATTGAAGAATAAGTTTGGCTATTTTATAGCCGTACATAAGAGAAATGAAAACTGCCAAATAAACTACTTATGCGCATAAAACGCACTACTTCCTAAAACTGAGGTGGACTTGAAACTAATGCAACAGAAATATGAAAACGTGGAACCACTAACAAATCCTCCCTTAAACTGAATGTTAGCAATCAGTTTATATCAGATTCAGCACATACTCCTAGTGACCTTCTTAGTGTTAAAAAGGTATCCAATTTGAGAGGTTTGATCATAATATCAGCCACTTGTTCTTGTGTCCCACAATGTATCATCTTAATAGTTTCAGTTTTTACAAGGTTTCGAAGGAAATGAAATCGGACGTCAATATGTTTACAACGCCCATGCATTACTGGATTTCTTGATAGCTTAATAGCAGAACTACTATCACAATGAATTACAGTAATTTGGCTTTGCACTCTACACAATTTTTCCAACACCCTTTTCAGCCAAACAGCTTGACAAGCACTTGATGCTGCACCTATAAATTCTGCCTCAGTAGTTGATAAACTCACAATTGGTTGTTTCTTTGATGACCACGAAATGGCAGCTGAACATAATAAGAACACATAACCCGAAGTGCTTTTCCTGTCATCCAAATCCCCTGCATAATCACTATCTGTATAAGCAAAAAGTTCACTGTTTCCTCCCTTTTTGTAGAAAATGCCAAATTCAGTTGTTCCTCTTAAATATCTCAGGACTCTTTTAGCTGCCAGTAAATGTAGCTCAGTAGGATTCTCCATGAACCTGCTAATTAAGCTTATCACAAACATCATATCAGGCCGAGTGGAGGTTAGATACATAAGACTTCCCACAATTTGTTTGTAGTAAGTCTTATCCACCTTAACACCAATATTGTCCTTTGAGAGTTTAGCACCAAGAACAATTGGGTTTTGAACTGGATTGCTTTTATCCATTCCAAACCGCTGTAGTATTGCTAATGCATATTTCTTTTGACATAAGAAAATGCCATTTGTTCGTTGATTAACTTCAAGACCCAAAAAATATCTCATTTTACCAAGATCTGTCATGGCAAATTCATGTTCCATGGAGCTTTTGAAATTTGCAAACATCAACTCATCATTACCAGTAAAGATAAGGTCATCAACATATAGACTAACAACTAATATTGTACCTTCTTTTGCTTTCTTCACAAAGAGAGTATACTCATAGTCGCACTTCTCAAATCCTTCATTCAAAAAATATGCTTCTATGCGGCTATACCAAGCACGAGGTGCTTGCTTAAGTCCGTAAAGAGCTTTCTTCAGCTTGTACACTTTATGCTCAGCCCCTTTTTGTTCATAACCACAAGGTTGGTCTACATACACGGTTTCATCTAGTTCTCCATGTAAGAATGCAGACTTCACATCTAGCTGATAGTGTCCATCCCTTTTGAGCTGCAATTGCTACTACTAAGCGAATGGTCTCCATGCGGGCTACTGGTGCAAATACTTCAGTGTAGTCTACCCCATACTCTTGTGCATATCCCTTTACTACAAGTCTGGCTTTATATTTATCCACCTCACCATTCTCTTTGAATTTGGTTTTATAAATCCACTTCACACCAACCTTCTTGGCACTGTCAGGTAAGTCCACTAATTCCCATGTGTCATTTCTGTTTATTGCTTCCATCTCTTCATCCATGGCTTTCCTGAAATCTGTACGGCAGCATCAAAGTGTGTGGGATCATTGTCACTGGCTGCAGATAGAGCCATATTCGCTTCTGGACTGTCTTCAAAGAATTTTGCACCAGTTTCGTAGTCTGCCATCCAGAAAGGTGGTCTCCGAGATCGTTGCAACGTGGGAGTATCTTCTGCTGTCATAGAATCAGAGGAATTATTATATTCATTAACCAAATCATGATGTACCTGTTGTGCTGCATCTGGCGTTGTGTCTTCAACCTCATCCTCGTGTTCTTCATTTTCGACAACATCTTCTTTATCTCCCCATTCTAAATCACATGAGATGGCTGCAACATATTGTGTATCCCAATCCCAACTTTTATCTTCATCAAAGACAACGTCTCGGCTGATAATGATTTTCTTTGAAATCGGATTATACAATTTGTAAGCCTTTGAGACTTCACTGACTCCCAACAAAACACAACTTTGACTTTTATCATCTAACTTGGTACGCGTAGCATCTGGTACATGAACATGTGAAAGGCAGCCAAAGATGCGAAAATACTTGACTGAAGGTTTGACTCCACTCCAAGCTTCTTCGGGCGTTTGATTCTTCACTGCTAATGTGGGACTTCGATTTAAGATGTGTACAGACCAAGTGGCAGCTTCAGCCCAAAAAGATTTGGGCATCTTCTTCTCTGAGAGCATGCTTCGAACCATGTTCATAATGGTCCGGTTCTTGCGTTCTGCGATCCTATTTTGTTGTGGAGTGTATGCAGTTGTCAGTTGTCTACGAATACCATTGTCAGAACAGAATTTGGTGAAGTCTTGAGAGGTGAATTCTCCCCCACGATCAGTGCGCAGTCCTTTGATGGAGGAGTCAGCTTCTTTTTCAACATGAACTTTAAAGTTCTTGAAGACAAAAAAGGCTTCTGACTTTTCAGTCAGGAAGTAGATCCAAGTTTTCCTGCTAAAGTCATCAATGAAGGTGAGCAAATACCTCCTTTTGCTATTAGAGATAGGAGTAATTGGTCCACAAATATTTGCATGAATTAATTGCAGAATCTGTGTAGCCCGCCAAGTACTTTTTCCTGGAAATGAGTCACGTGACTGCTTCCCAATTAAACAGTTCTTGCACGGTTTGGTGGATGCCTTGATTGGTGGTAACCCATGTACCATGTTCTGCTGATAAAGTGTGTTTAGACCTCGAAAATTTAAATGACCATATCGACAATGCCAAAGATGCATGTTGTCCTCTGCAGCTGTATGGAAGCAAGTGGTTTTGGTAGGGGAAGGTATAGCATGCAGTAGGAACATTCGATTGGAAGACATGTGAGTTTCCATGAGTAAACCATTTTCTGGATGATACACTTTGCACTTGTCGTGTTGGAAGAGAATGTTAAGGCCCTTTTCTTGTAATTGCCCAAGACTGAGTAAGTTGTTTCTTAAGTCTGGCACGAAGAAGACACCAGTAACCGTATAGGTGTTGCCATGCATTTGGAGTTGAACATTGCCTTTGCTCGTGACAGCCATACTAGAGTTATTGCCTAGTTTGACTGTGTCTTTGTAATGTTCATCAAAATCAGAGAAGTATTCCTTCCTCCCACACATGTGATTACTACATCCAGAATCAAGGAACCACACGGTATTTTTGTTTGTCTTGGTTGTCTCTGTGTGAGCCATCAGCAACATTTTTTCATCATTCTCGACATAGTTGGCTTCTCTTTGTTGGGTTGGATACTCCCAACTAAAATGTCCAAGTTGATGGCATGTGTAGCATTCCACCGAGGATTTGTCAAAACTTTGTCGACCTCGCCCACGGCCTCGTCCTCTTCCGCGTCTACCAAAACTTCCTCCACGCCCTCCTTGTCCTCGGCCTTGGGCTGCATGGTGACCTGTATGGGAAACTTGTAGGGCTTGTTCTTCTTCCACATGAGATGACATCCGAAGCTCATGTAGACTGCTTTGTAGTTCGTCAACAGTCATCATCTCGGTATTCTTAGATTCCTCAATGGAACACACAACATAATCGAATTTGAGAGTCATGGATCTAAGAATTTTCTCAACAACTGCAACATCACCTTTGTTTTCACCATTAGCCTTCATCTTGTTTGCAATGGTGAGTGTTTGGGCAAAGTAATCATTAACAGATTCTCCCTGCTTCATGTGGAGAATTTCAAATTCTCTTTGGAGAGCTTGTAATTGTGCTCTCTTGACCCTTGATGTTCCATGGTACTTCTGCTTCAATGAGTCCCATATATCCTTTGCAGTATCCTTATTGAGGATTGTTTCCAGAACTGAACGATCCAGCGCCTGAAATAGGTAATTCTTTGCCTTCAAATCCTTTAATTTCTGATCTTCAACATGTTTCTTCTGTACTTCGGTAAGAGGTGTGTCTGCTGTAGATACTGGGATGCCATCTTGCACCAGCCCTCAGTACTCCTTAGATCTCAGGAAGTTCTCCATTAGCATAGCCCAGTGGTTGTAATGCCCATCAAATTTTGGTATTGCGGGCTGCACAAATGAGTTTTCTGATGCCATTGCGTGTGATAGTTAGAAGACTGCAACTCCTACTGTGGTGATCAGGCCCCGGAATGGAGCTCTGACCAGAATGTTGTAACCGTACGTAGAGATATGAAAATGCAGAATAAGCAAACTGCACTATGTTTATTGAAGAATAAGTTTGGCTATTTTATAGCCGTACATAAGAGAAATGAAAACTGCCAAATAAACTACTTATGCGCATAAAACGCACTACTTCCTAAAACTGAGGTGGACTTGAAACTAATGCAACAGAAATATGAAAACGTGGAACCACTAACAGGGTTGCTATGTAATGTGACGTGCTGATTTGTTTTGAGATCGCCAAGTAAATTCCAATGCTGGAATACTTGAATGCTGCTTCCTCTGGTTTCGCAGGGTAGCTCAAGAAGCGAGTCAATTATGATATTTTCTAAATGAACTTTTTTTGTGTATGGTAATTATATTACTTAACGTCAAACTCAAGCAAGGTTTTGTGCAGTTTGCCACTACCTTCATGTTTTACAAATTTGACTTACAGAAACAAAGAATCTACATGTTTTGTTGGCACAAATGATTCTACCTGCTCAAAACTCATTTTACTGAGATCACATCTAAGTGGCTTAGTCATGCTGCATGAGATCTTACAAGAACGCAAACTTGTTTGGTTGATCAAGCCTGCTGCAAAACACTGTATCTAAAATTTACTCACCCGCCCAAACTTAAACTGAGTTTTGGAAATTTCTCTTTGAGCCTATTCTTTATGTGTAAGGCAGCCCACTTCAATACTAAAATTAAAGCCTCTTAATAAGAATCTTGAGAGAATCACACCACAAAAGTTAGCTGTTGTAGTTAGAGTGCTCATTTATATGTGTAACATTTGATTATTTGGAAGGCTTATACCATCCCTGTACATTTGGAATTGTATTATTTTCTAAGTTTTAGTTTAAAACCTGTGATTTTAAAGTCTTTTAAGCCTATTTGTGTTATTTTATATGAAGAGGGCAACCTAGTGCTACAATTGTTCATATGTGTAGTTTTATACATTAGTGATGATCCTGGCTTTGTGTTATGATCTCATGTTTTACTTGTTTACTCCCTTATCTGATCTTTAGGCAGGATCTGAATTTGGTAACCTTGCATTTAATTACACCTTTTGTTGATAATTGATTTTTGGCATGCTATATAGGATTTTATGACTGAGAGATCAAGAATTTGATCCATGCTGCTCCCATTTATCTAAATAAAAAAGGTGGATTTTAATACAAGGTAGGGTGAGTCTAGGCATTGCGCCCTTTGAATCTGAAGGGCTTTTGTGAGAATCGGGCGTGTTAACTATTTATGGGAGCATCCATGTAACAATTTATCTTCTTGCTTCCCTGCCTTCATTTTCCCCCAAATTTTGACATTTATCTCTTTTTGTTTATCTTCTTGCTCTATCTTCATTTTCACTAAATTTTGATGCTCGTCAATGATGGCATCTTAACTTTATATGGCATTTCCATGCAATATCATTGTATATCCTTATTATTTCTATTTTGGTTGCAGATATTTAATGGTGTCTTTCTTAAAGTTAACAAAGCAACCATGAATATGCTGCACAGGGTAGAGCCCTATGTTACCTATGGGTATATAAATTTTCAACTACATACCTTGATATTCACGGTTCATTGACTGTACCATGTGTTTCTTAATATATGCAAAATCAACTTCAGGTACCCTAATTTGAAGAGTGTAAGAGAATTGATTTACAAGAGGGGATACGGAAAAGTTAACAAGCAGAGGGTTGCTTTAACAGACAACTCTATTATTGAACAGGTCTGTCTGGTGTATAGTGTAGCTATCATTGAATGTTTTCATTGCTTGTTTTTTCTATTACTCAAATTTTCATTCATATAATATCCAATGCCAGACTTTAGGAAAGAATGGGATTATTTGCGTTGAAGATCTGATCCATGAGATAATGACTGTTGGACCTCACTTCAGAGAGGCTAACAATTTTCTATGGCCCTTCAAGCTCAAAGCTCCCCTGGGTGGTTTGAAGAAGAAAAGAAATCATTATGTTGAAGGTGGTGACGCTGGCAACAGGGAAGATTACATAAATGAGCTTATTAGAAGGATGAATTAGATTGTCATATCGTCGTTCGTATAAATTTATTGAGGCTGAGACATTAGTTATTCCAGTTTTGCTTTTAAGGATTTTTTATTTTAAATTTGAATGTTTGAGCTGATGGGGATATTAATTCGTTGCTTGCGATGCAATGTATGGTTCCTTAGCTGATGGAGAGAAGTTACTAAATTTGAATTTTGATGCTTAATATTGCAAATCCATTGGGCTAGTCTTCTTGTGCAGCTAATCAAAAGCTTAAAGATTAGGGCATCGATAACAAATATTCTAGGGATACTGACCAGCATTTTCCTGAATATTGTCTTAAAATAAGATGTCGAATTGTAGTTAAACATGATTATTAAGAGTTTCTAACCATACACAAGATGGTGGTTTGAACGTCTACTCTGAATGGATAATTAAGAAACAATGCACAAGAAAGTAACCTGATTTCGTAAATAGTTTTTTTTTTTTTCAAGTTTTCTTTGGTCGTCTGATCAGAGTTTGGATACTCTACATTGTGCGACGAATGATTCGTGTTTTGTTACAAGGACAAACTCCAAGAGATAGAGATAAATTAGTACGAAAGAAAGACACTGCAGCAGCATTCTTAAGAAGAAAACGACCACACTCCACCCCTCAGGTGGCCTCTTCAGAAAGAGGTAGACTCTTGGAAGGGAGTGTGAGTTAACCCAAGAAGACAGTCGGCCACAGTCTCTTTGGATATAATATTATTAAGAATTGTCAAATACTCAACTCATTAGTGTTATTTATTTGGTTTCCACATTTTTTTTCTTTCTTTATTATTATTATTATTATTATTATTATTATTATTAGATGTTAAATAATGGAATTGATTGTCCATACTCGAGAAAGGGATGGGTGGATAAGGTGATACAGATATAGACGGTCTAACCTGTGCCGGTGGGTCCTATCTTTTCAGCAGCAAGTCAATTGCTTGCAAATGCGTTTGTTGGTTAAAATGTTATCTAAGAAGGCAATGTTCTGGTTTTTATTCTTTTCTGTGCTTATTATGTCCCTTGCAGTCTCTAGGGTCATCATAAGCAACATATACAGACTACACTATTCTCAGCTACTTGTACTTTATTTCAATTTCATGGAATTCCATTCAGCCTTAGGATCGGTTTCAAAAGCTAACAATACTATTTAAGGAAAATTATACAATTAAACGTGGCAGGTTTGCTGATTTTTTATATATTAATGATTTGTTTTATGTTGTTAATTTATTATTTTATACAAAATAAGAGAGTAGAATCTTAGTTACACACTTTTTAATATACTCATAATTATTAATTAAAATTTATTAAATTAATCTATTTTTATTTACTAATTTTTTTTTTGTATTTTTATACATTTTAATAACTTTTAGTTAATAAATAAAAATGTGTAAATAAAGTAAGATTGGATTTTTTTTAATTCATTTCTAGTTATAACCTATATTTTTCGAGTGTGAAGGAATAGGAAGAAAAAATATATAAAAAAATATGCTTTACATATATGCTCTATTCGTCAGCTTCACTTAGGTATTGATCTTATCTTTGGTATGATTGGAAAGAAGTGCTCTCATTTTCACTTTTGATGGCAAATGGTCGCGTGTGATTTTGTCCCTTGTGAGGGTAAATACATAGAAGAGAGACACGTAGTACTTTCCACGTTCATAGACATGACAAGTGTAAACAAACATTATTCTTTAACAATATTCCAACAAATAATTATATACCAGCTGAACGCAGACCCTTCTTGTTGGTATCAAGAGATGGAATAGAGACACGTGTAGTTCATAAGTTCAATGATTTGACGGTGTAGCCACAATGTGTTCTTTCACAGGCCAACACATAGACATCCTTGTTATAAACAAGCTTGAGAACGTCCCTTTGGTGATGTGATAATTAAGAGTATGGTCATGGAAGCCCACAAAGAAAAGAGAGAGCAAGTAGAGAAAGAAGAGATGGGAAAGGGGTCGAAAAAGTTTAATGACCAAGACAACGAATCAAAGGGTGACAAAGTGACCAAAAGGGTGATTCGTGAGTCCATAGTTTCGGGTGGTGGTAGTGACAATGAAATCGCTCAAGCTCCTCATCATGTTTTGGCTTTCAACCGATCCGTTTGTAACGTTGACTCCTCGCTGGAATGATCAATAATTTTTATGTATTTCAATACATTAGGGTTAACGTTTTATCCTTTGTGAGAATATATATAATTTTAATATTAGTGAACAAATAAATGTGTAAGTTAATTTAAATTAAAAGTATCATCATAACTTGATATATATGCTTTAGCTTACGGGTTGCTCCGTAAATTTGTGGACCATAGTCTAAATCATCAACGAATGCGTACATTTTTTTAATATTTTATTTTTACACAATTCTTTGATAAAATATTAAAGAAATCGATAACATTATAGTATTGCCAATTTAATCTTTAAAATTATAAATATATTAATTTTTTTTTATATTTTTAAATATAAGTAATTTTAATTATTATTATAACTTTGGAGACTACATTATCCTTTAAATATAAGTTTAAAGAATAAGTTTATGGATATTCATAGTTACAAAGTTATTTTTAGTGTATTTAGTGTATCACTCATAAAAATTATAATGTATCTCACACTTATTGTTTCCGTTTCTTTTCCATGATAAGTTGCGAAGCCAAAATGCTAAATACTTGCTAAAGTTTATGAACATCTTTACTATTGTAATGAAGAAGAGTTACATAATTTTTCTCTACTTTAAATATCCCGCTTTTAATTTTAAAGTTTAAGAACTTTTTCACTAACTGATTTTGATGTCAACGCTTTTATCTTGTAATGCAGTAATTGTTCATTTTTAAGATTTTCTTAAAGAACTTGGCTTATAATTGCTCTAAGCAGATGTTGAAAACGATTTGAGATCCAACACTTACAAGTATAATTAAGTTTACGAGAATAGCAGTTGGTTTACTTTGTTTAGATTTTCTCAAAAATAAAATTAAGTCAAAACACACTACTATGTTGAAGGTTTAAAAAATAAGGGATAAAAACTAGAAAAGAAAATCTTTCATGTATAAAAGCTAATTAACAGAAGACTTTCTGCTTGTCTCTATCTTTTTTTACAAAAAACATTGTGCTCAGGCTTCGGTTTATTCCGGTAACGTGCAGACATGGATATATTAATTAAAAATTGTACAAATTATGTAATTTTTTTTATTTTTATAATTTTTATTAAATTTTCTCTAATAATTAAATATATATTAAAAAGAATGAGTCAGAGAATGTTCTCTTAACACTCTTTTTAAATATGTTACCTAAAAATATTCTTGAAAATGAAGTGCACATAAGATCGTATTATATTTCCTTATAATCAAATAAAGAAAACCAGCGTCACAAAGAACTGTCGAACACTTTAGCATAATCACATGCATTATACAATATGCAAATTGAGAAGAAAAAGTTTAACAAATGATTATTTAAAAAAAATAAGGCGTAGAATGTAGACATCATTGACTATAACATTATGGTGACGATCACCTTTAAACAAACACTTGTAATTAAGACACCTCTAAAAAGTATAAAAACCTGAAAAGAAAAAGAACGTTTTTGCCATATTTTGGAAGGATAAGATCGAATACTTTTTCCACGTATGATTAAATAATTATCACGAAATACGTCATGATCAGATATATATACCCTTAATCTCCTTAGTACAATCACACGTATTTTACAGTATTTCATGTAAAGTATATATATATATATATATATATATATATACATCATTGATGACTAAAGTTTTTATGCTCAATCACAGTATTGCTGAAAAATGAAAATCTTTTATGTTCTACATATCAGGTTTGGCACTTCCGTACACAGATTGGTACACTACCCAAAGAAGAACTCAATGAATATCTTATATACTACGCCCAAGTCATAGTAGCTATATATATCAAGTCTAAATAAAGGTTAATTTTGTGTTATTTTTTAAACAAAAATGGTTAGTTAGATACAATAAGTAGTGTAATTCCTTTTTTCTTCTTAATTTTCAACAAATCTACATACGAATGTCTATCTCCCTCCCTAAATATGCAAACATGTGAACTTAACAGGAGCTAATCTTAATTAGTTTAGTTAATCAAAATAAACAAGACTATATTTAAGTATTGAAGGGATGCACCTTTTGTCGCAATTTAAAGGGATGATTCTTAAAAAAACTAGTCTTAGTTTGGAAAGAAAGTGCAAACATTTTAAGCACAAGACAATGTTGATGCCTGATGGCTTTGAAAAATCTTCGAAAGGTATGATTGGTTGTGTACACATATAATTTCATTTTGTTGAAATGTAAAAAAATTGCACTCTATTGTTTAAATATGGATCAATTTTACCAATATTAGTTTTTTTAAAGTTGATTTTAATTAATTATAAAAAAAGTTTATATAAAAAGATATAACGTTAACAAAACTCATTTTTTATCATCAAGTTAACAAGTTGGCTTATGTCTATTTTTCATCTACAAGAATAGCAAAATTTAGAATCTCAGTTAATAATTTATAAATAATAATTTGATTTTTTTAATTTATTGTTCTAAAAAATTGTAATTAAACATACAAAAGTAAAATTTTAGTATTTAAAAAATATTTATGATGGGATAGTGCTAAAAAGTATTTTTAGGATATCAGTTAAAAAAATACAATGCATTTCTATTATTATTTTTAAATACATCATTAACGTAAAAAGTTTAGTAATTTGATTTATTATTTTTAATTAATATCCTTAAAATACTTATTAATAGTAATCTTTATCGGATAAAAAATGTAAAGTCCTTTAATTCATGTTTATAAAATAAATTTAATATTTTAAAATCAATAATCTTAGAACAATGATTTGACAAAATCATTAATAGTTTATTTGGCTTCGGAAACGTAAAGAATCTTTGCTTTAAATTCTTTTTTTAAGTCTGGGATTATACGTATTTTTTACTTGAAACAATATTATATATGATGTTTGGATTGGGAAATTTGTAACACATAGCAGATTTAATATAATTTTCTTAGCGGAGGTTTTAGTTCACACGCAAGACGTGACTTTAAAATAAAAAAGAAACTTCACTTCAAACGTTTTACTAACGAAGACAAATATATATTATTAAATATTGAAGAAATTTTAATGAAAATGTTTCACGGGTGCTCCTCGTCCTTGGATTTAAGTATAGTCCGTCGATGAAAATAAATAAAATAA